CCCTCAATGTGACTGCAGGGTCCCATGTCAAACTGTAGATCACATCGTGACTGGCTGTAAGCTGAGGTCATATAACAGTCCAGTATCTGAGTTTTTAAATACAAACAATGCTGCACTTCAATGGCTAGATGGTCAAGACATTGATGTCTATGGAGCTTCTCAGTCATCCAGGTCATAGTTATCCCAAAGATGCTTTTCCACGGGGCAACTGTACTTTCTTGTTTTTCTTCGAAGATGTTTCGCTTCTCGAAAGCCTCTTGGATGAGAAGCGAAACGTCTTTGAAGAAAAACAAGAAAGTCCAGTTGCCTCATGGAAAAGCATCTTTGGGCCAAGACATTGATATTTGAACATAGATCTTTTTTGATGTTTATTTTTTATTGGATTTTACTAATCTAGTTAAAATGTTAATGTTAATGCTGCTAACATTGGATGTTTTTGCTTTGACAACAGTTGGAGATGCAACCATTTTCTTCTTATATTTTACTCTTAGAGTTAGATGATGCTGGGGGGAGGAATGTGCATGAGAGTTTAGCTAGACATAACAATACTGGACCTAGTGTGTGAACCAAGGTTATTGAAATAAGAGATGATAAGAATTGGCGGGCTGGAGAACTGAAGGGAAAGCCTGCATTTCAAACTAATTGGAGAATGTCATTTATGACTGTTAATTGGAGGAGGGAATTGTGCTTTGATACTATGTGCTCAGGGGAGGGGAATTCAGTTTTTGGCTTTGATTATGTTAGTGCCGACACTATGCTTCTCTAATAAAGATTTTTTAAATAAACAATGCCTCGAAGTTCTTTGAACAGTTTCATCTGTCGGAACCATGACAGTTAATTTATATTGCTAGTCCATGTATAATATGCCATACACTAAATAAATAAATAAATAAATAATCATAGAAAACTATAGCTAGTGCTGATGACATTGGAAGTATTTAGATTAAGAAATATGAAAAAATTTTCAATAGTAATTCATTGTCCCAGAAGCAGGAAAAATGGCAATATCTGTTGTCTTTGAAACTGTGGAACTCCTTGAGGTTAAAATACTTGGCAAAGCTATTGCAATGCTTCCTCATTAAATGATTGCAATTTTAAAAATCAAATAACTACTGAGCTTCATAAAATAAAGGAAGGAAAAGTAGGTATATTATATAGGGGGAAATTATAGCAGAGCTCAGTGCAGATACTTATGGTTGTATGTTACTGATAGTTCCCAAAAGGCAGGACAGAATGATTATGATAACACTGCAGCCACTTCCCACTCTTAAATCTGAGAACAGAACAGCTAGAATAACATTCACTCAGAATGTCAGAAGGAAAGGATTAGAATGCAAACTCTGGATGGCAGATGCTTATATAGACTTTAATCTTCTTCTCTGATTGGGACCTTGACAAGGCGAAGAGGCTTGCTAATGTCATTGAATGAAAGTATACAATATCATCAAGAGAATAAAAGAACTTAAATGGAAATAGGCTGGTCATATAGGAAGAAGAATTGATGGCGGGTGGATCAAGGCAGTTGTAGAATGGATCCCACTTGATAAAAAGCATCCACGAAAGAGACCTAAGACAAGACGGATCTATAACATCAACAAGTATTGTGGGCCCAGTTGGCAAAAGAAAACTCAAGACCATATTGCAGTGATGGCGAACTTATGGCACGTGTGCCAGAGGCGGCACTCAGAGCCCTCTGTGTGGGCACGCGCACCATGCCCCAGAGATGGCAACTGTCCCTCTTCAACCAGCCAGCTGCTAACTCGCCGAGGTCCCATGTGGCCGCATGCATCCCAGCACGCCTGGTTTCCCTCCCCCACGTCCCATCCATCCTGGCCTTGCACGGTCTCCTTTTCCTGGGCACGACCCACTGCATCGCCTCCTCAGCTGTTGGCCAGCCATCCAGTTCAAAGGCGGCGGGCTGCGGAGCCCTAGAGTGCACCGGTCGAGGGGCCGCAGGCTCTGGCTGCTGATGGACACTGTCGGCCCCCATGGGCTCGCTGGCCTCTGTGTGCGGGGGCCGATGGTGTCAGGCAGCCGCCCTGGCCCCTGCCTCACCTTGCCCTGCGACAATGGCACCCTCGCCCTGTCTCACCTTGCCTCACCTCACCCCACAGGACGAGCCTCCTGCCCACCACCCCACCTGCCAGAGACCCCCTGGATCTCCCCCAGCCCTGCCCGTCCCCCACAGGCATCCCTCCCCACGAGCAACATCAAGGTGACCATGCCCACCTTGGCCACACCCACCCAGTCTGCCATGACCACCACAGCCATGCCCACCCAGTGGGCCATGCCCACCTGGCACCCAGCGATAAATAAGTGAGTTTTGGGTTGCAGTTTGGGCACTCGGTCTCTAAAAGGTTCGCCATCACTGCCATATTGGATGGAAATATGTGGAAGAGGCCTTCATCCTGCAGTGGATAGACAATGGCTAAAATAATGATAATACTTAATAAAGTAGATACTGCATTTTTACAATCTCATGCCTTTCTTTATTACAACTGGCACTCCAAAAAGGAAATAGCACAATAAGTTTGTAGATATCTAGGCATGCTCCACAAACAGAACTCATTTGTCAGTTGAACAAAGAACCTTTAGTTTTCTAGATTATTTTTATATCACAGACATCTCTTATTTCTTTTTCCTCAAGTCAATTTTATCCACATAATTTCTGGGATGCAAAAATGCAGAGAACCCTAAATATGCCAATCATGAGAACTTTGTGTATCTTTTTGATGCTATTCCATAAATATCCAGATGTTTGCAACCCGGATACAGTGTGTTAAGCACATTTAGCACAGTAGGACTTTAACAACTAATATTTTGGAAAATACGAGATACCATCTGCTACTATTTTAGCTATGTGGGAAGTGGGCTATGCTAACTATAAGGGGGGATTCCATACTGACAATTCAGAAATAATACTTTCATTGGAGAAAGTATTTTAGGCTATATCTTTCTGTTCTTTGATTATCCTTGACCCAAAGCAGGGAAAAGTTATAATTCCAGCCTTTAACATATTTTCATGCTGAGATGAAGGGCTTGCAACCTGCTCTATATGGAGAATCTAGACAAGTCTCTACACAAGAATAACTCTAGAAGTGTTATTTATGAGAGATTGTATTACACTGAATTCTATTCAAGTCTCTTGGAACCATTTTGCCATCCATAAGTCACATTTCAGTAAATATATGTAGCATAAATTGGACAAGGAAGCATATTTATAAGTAGAAAACAATGGGTTTAAGAATTGTTGGAGAGAAGGTACTCCCAAAACACTCCTTGTTTATTTGATATAATCTAAGGAAATTATTTTTCAATCTACATTTGTTCTGGAAGTTGTTCCAGTAGAGCATTAGGAGCAAATGCCAACCCACCTGCATAAGCCTCCATTGTCTTCATTAAGACACTACACTCTTCTGTGATTTTGCCTTCAATAGTCCTCTTGCCCATTCCATATTCCCGTAATGTGGATAATGTAAACCGTCGCATCACTTTCCAGTTTTCACTGAGCAAAAACAAGACCTGAAGAGAAAAAGGATAAGATAGTTTGTTTCTATGTTATCTTCACACCAAACATTTCTTTACCTTTTTCCTGAAAGCTTGGAATTTTGTGGATATTTTCTGACCATGTGGTTGCAAAGACATTATTTTTTAAAAAAATGATGCCTCAGTGGAGTTTGAATTGCAATCCACCAATCAAAATGCACAGGCCCTTGTTGCTAGGACAGGTGGCAGGAGATGATTGAGATAGGGCCTTGGGAGATGTCCTGTGCATGACTGGCATTTTTCAATTAAGACCAGCTATAGTTAGCAGCTAATCTTCCTTCATATATAACCTTCCCTTGCTGATGCCTAAACTGAAGGGCTCTAAAACATGCCCTCCTGGCCACTACTTTGCTCTCTGCGGATGGCATGGAAGGAATCACACTGATGCAGCAAGTATTGGGATTTCATTGATAATGTTTTACACTCTCATTTGAGATTCTTCTGGTGAAAACTTCAAATGAAACATTCTACATTATACTGATCATACATCTGAAACTTTGTCAACTACAATCCAGTATGAAATAACTTACCAAACCTTTTTGTTGCATCTTCAAAAATGGGAACAAAGGGCTTATCTGCAAATGCACCAGCCTGGTTCACTAGAGCCTCTTTGACCATCTAATATCCAGTCAGCACCACCATTTCCTGGAATCTCAGTTTCATTCAACTGAAATATTGCTTTTGAAAACCTCAGATGAAAAGTTCTACATTATACTGATCACACATATGAAAGATTTGTCAGCTATAAGCCAGAATGAAATAACTTACCAAATCCTTTTGCTGCCCCATCAAAAAGAGGGATGTGGACCTATCAGCAAATACATCAGCCTGGTTCACTAGAGCCTCTTTGACCATCTTGTAGCCAATCAGCACCACCATCTCCTGAAATCCCAGTTTGATGTGGAAAAAGGGACCATATTTTTTTGACGACTTGAATTCAGCAGAAGAAAAACAAAGAGACCATTTTGATCAATATTTATATGTAGAAGATGGTTTAAGAAACCAACTGTTATAACTTAACTTATAATTTTGCTTAAAATATGTAATAAATAGGAGTACCTCTAAGTACATATCCTGTCATTCAGCTTAATAACATTTATATTTCCTCAAAAACTCATTGAGGTTTGAACAATTTCTGCAAATCTGAATAAACAATTAGAAAATTGTTTTTAATTAGAAAATTAAAAAATTCTCATTGAATAAACAATTAGAAAATGGTTTATTCAATTAGAAAATTTTACATCCATTAACAAAAAGATTTTCTTGAAATAATCCTTTCAGGATATTTCAACATATTCAGATACTAGTAAATTTCTATTTTTAAAATATTTCCTTAAATGTTGAAAATCATCAGGGAACACATGAGACTTACTTTTGTAACTTACCAAGATTTTGTCCCCCGCCCAGCTAATTTTGGCAAAAAATATTCATGCTTGTTAATCACCAGTCTTTACCTCCATCATTGTTCTGTAAGGCCTCTTCAGATCCTCCATGTGCAGATTTCCCAAAATGGGCAAGGTCCTGGGTCCCGGAGGGAGATTGGGGGAGCTGTTATTCCAGGAACTGCCCTTTTTCAAAAGGAACATAATTGCAAGAATAAATAGTAATAAAATTAAAATTGGTCCAATCCAATTCATTTCTTTTTAGTAAACAGTTTTCAATAAAAACTATGATGAATTTTGTAAACCGAAAGGATTCCAGCATGTATTTCAAAGCAAAGTATTAGGCATAGCCTAGCTAATCTTTCTACTGAATTCTGAGACTGCTCTGTTCAATACAATACTTTTAACCTTTGCCCTCAGTTCTGTTTCCTCCCCAGGGCTTATATCTGTCCTTGCATATGATATACTTATGCGTGGGATTTATGAAAACTTTGCAAATTGGTTTCACTTGTCCCGCACAACAAACTAGCTTTTATGACAGTTGTATATAATTCATTGTAATTATAGAATACAGGATGAATTGTGAAATTTTCATGCCTGTAAACGATATCTAACAGAACCTCCAGGAATAAATCTTTTACTATTTAGTTAAGGACAGGCATATAAATATGATAAACAAATAAATGGAATTAAACTGATCACTACTGGGCCCAAAGAACAACAGAGATGTGTCTTCTTTTTTTTTTTTTTAAACAAATTTTTATTGATTTTTCATTGAAAAACAAAAACATAGATCTTTTTTTATCACAATATCAACCAAAAAAAAACAACACTAGTCAATACATTCACGGACGTGTCCGGTGTCCCCCTCCTGCACCACCCTCTTCCACTTACCACACCTTCCTCCTCCCAACCTACCACCACTCCTCCTTCCTCCCTCTTTCCTACCTCCCTTTCCTCACTCAACCATCCCGTCCTGTGCAATTGGGGCATCACCGGGCACCTCTTTAAAAAATCATACATATATATACATATAAATCTATAATACAAACCTACCCCTTTCCCCCCTCCCCCCCAGGACTTCCCAAAGCTAATCTAGGAAATAAACGCACAATAATCCAATTCTATTCAAAACTACTCATTATTACTACACACTAGTACAAATTTGCTGTGACTCTAAAATAACATTAAAATACATACAATTTTTTTTAATTATATCAATATTTGATATAACTATTTTTGTTCTGAATTTTTAATCAAAAGCTACATAATAATTTTTCAATTCATACTTTCTCTGAATATAATCTATCCATCTTCTCCATATTGAGATAAACTTTTCCTGAGAATGATCCTTCAGGTACGCGGATATTTTTGCCATCTCTGCAAAATATGATACTTTTTGTCTCCAATCATCCATAGTTGGTAACATCTTTTTTTCCCAATTTTGAGCAACTAAGATCCTTGCTGCTGTTATACAATACAACATCAATTTAATTTCTCTTTGATCCAAATTGTCCATAATACCCAATAAAAATAACTTCGGTGTAAATTTTATCTTTTTCTTAAAAATCTGTTGAATGTTCCACCAGATCTTAATCCAAAAGGCTTTAACATCCCTACATGTCCACCAAATATGATAATAAGTAGCATCCATACTACCACATCTCCAACATTTTGGTTGCAAATTCGGATACATGCAAGACAATTTTTGAGCGTCCAAATGCCATCTATAAAACATTTTATAAAAATTTTCCCTTAGATTCTGTGCTTGGGTGAACTTGACATTTCTTACCCAAATTTTTCCCCAAGTTTCTAACTTTATTGGTTCTTGAATATTTTGAGCCCATTTAATCATATAATCTTTAACCAATTCTGTTTCCGAATCAAGTTCTATCAAAACGCTATATATTCTCCTAATATGGGCTCTACTTTGATCTTTAATCTGTTTTATCAAGTTCACATCTTCTACCATTAAACCCAATTTCTGATCTATATGCCATCTCTCAACCAATTGAAAATATAACAACCAGGACTGGAGTACATTATCCTGTCTTAACTCTTCCAATGATTTAATTTGCCAGTCCTGTCCTCTTAGCATAAGTAAATCTTTATAAACAATACCTTGTAATTTTGCTCCCCTTACTATTCCTTGTATTGCATGTTCCGGAATAGCCCACATTGGAATTTTTAAATTTACCTTATATGAATACTTTTTCCAAACTCTCAGAAGTGCAACCCTTAAAATATGAGATTTAAAAGCCCGATCAATTTTCTTATCAAAAAATAAGTAGGCATGCCATCCATAATATAAATCCCAACCTTCAAGTATCAAAATATCTCTATTGGTTAAATTAATCCAATCACTAACCCAGGTTAATACCACTGCTTCATAATATAATTTTAAATTAGGGGCTTTAAGTCCCCCTCTTTCCCGTACATCTTGCAAAATTTTAAATTTTACCCTAGGTTTTTTCCCCTGCCATATAAACCTATTGATGCCTCTTTGCCATTCCTCCAAATTTGAATCCTTTTTTAAAATAGGTATCATCTGAAACAAGAAAAGAAACTTTGGGAGAACATTCATTTTTATCACTGCAATTCTTCCCAATAATGATAGCTGTAATTTCTTCCAAACCATCAAATCCTTTTGAACTTTTTTCCATAACTTATCATAATTATTTTTATACAATTTAGCATTAGAAGCAGTAATATCAACACCCAAATATTTCACTTTTTTTACTATTTCAAAGCCAGTTACATTACTTAAAATTTCTATATCTTTCATAAACATATTTTTAACTAATATTTTAGTCTTATTATTATTTACTTTAAATCCAGACACCTTCCCATAATGTGTCAATATCTGTTTCAAATTTCTTGCCGAGTCAGTTGGTTCCGACAAAATAAAAACCAAATCGTCAGCAAAAGCTCTAAGCTTATAGTCATTGTTACCCAGAGTTATTCCTTTTACAAGTGAAGACTCTCGAATCTTGATTAGTAAAATCTCCAAAGTCAAGATAAACAGTAACGGTGATAATGGACAGCCTTGCCTTGTACCTTTTTCAATTTTAATTGAATCTGTCAAACCCCCATTTACAATCACTTGAGCAAACTGTAGTTGATAAATAGCCTTTAACGCTGATGAAAATCTATCCCCAAAATTCATTCTGTCAACCAAACGTAACAAAAATTGCCAATCCAATTTGTCAAAAGCCTTTTCGGCATCCAAAAAGATAAGGGCCGCCGGGATTTGATTATTTTTATCCAAATACTCCAACAAGTTCACAATTTGTCTAACATTATTCTTCATATATCTTCCATTTATAAATCCAGACTGATTCACATGAATAATCTGTTTCATTACTTGCATTAGTCTATTAGCTAATATTTTTGCAAAAATCTTATAATCCGTATTCAATAAAGATATTGGTCTGTAATTTTTAGGCTGGGTCGTATCTTGATCCTCCTTCGGTATAAGTGAAATAAATGCAGTCCTCCAAGATGGTGGTATTTGTCCTCCCATTAAAATATCATTAAAGAGACATCTCAAGGGTTCTAACATTTCTTCCGATAGTTTTTTATAATAAATTGCAGTAAACCCATCTGTACCAGGGGCTTTACCAACCTTCAGTTGTTTAAATGCCTCTGCAATCTCTTCCAACGTGATCATACCGTTCATCAGCCCTTTTTGATCCTCAGAAAGACATGGCAAATTTGCTTGTTGTAAATAATTATCTATTTCATCAAATTGTATATTCTCAGAGGCATACAATTTAGAAAAATATTCTGTGAAAGCCCTTTTAATCAATTCCGGTTGAAAAACTTCTGTACCCTTATAGTTCATTTTCTCAATAAGTCTTTGTTTTTGTTTCTTACGTAATTGGTACGCTAACCATCTTCCAGGTTTATCTGCATTGCAAAATGTATTATGTTTCATATATTTCAAATTAATAGCAATTTGATCAGAAAGCAACATATTATACTGTTCTTTTAACATTACAATAGATGCCTTTAAACTCTTATCCATTGGATTTAAGGAGAAAGCTTTTTCCTTTATTTTTATCTCTTGCTCCATATCTTTCTACTTTTGTTGCTGTTTTCGCTTATAAGCAGAGTTCATTGAAATTAAGGCACCCCTCATAACTGCTTTGCTTGCATCCCAAACCATCAATATAGAGGTGCCCTTATTCATATTCAATGCAAAAAATTCCTTTAAATAATCTTTAAGTTTCTGCACATTTGTTTCATAATTCAATAAATTCTCATTCAGTCTCCAAGTCCTTCTACTACCTCCATCAGTTGAAATCTCCATCCATACAGGACTATGGTCCGACAATATCTTAGGAAAAATCTTCACCTTCTTAACCCTAGAAATCAAATCAGTAGTAATCAAAATAAAGTCAATTCTGGAGTAAGATTGATGCCTATCCGAAAAGAAAGTGAAATCACTTTCTCCCATATTCCTTTCATGCCATATATCTCTTAACTCAAGGTCTTCCTGTAATGCAAAAAAACTTTTAGGCAATTTAATTTGCATTGAAGTTTTAGCTGAAGTTTTTTTTATCTCTTTTTGGGTCTATTACACCATTCCAATCTCCCATCATGATAACAGATTTATAATCCAATTGCATTATCTTTTGATGCAAAAAAGTAAAAAATTGCTTTTGTTGTTGATATAAGTTTGGTGCATATAAGCCCACAAGAAGACATTTTTCCCCATTCAAAGTAGTTTCAACAAATACAAATCTTCCTTCTGCATCAGTATCTATTAACTTTGGCATCAATTCCTTCTTAACATAAAGAACTACACCCGCTTTTTTCTTTTGAGCGCAGGCGGCAAAATATAAACCCAATTTAGGATTAAATAAATATTTTTGATCTTTTAATATAATGTGTGTCTCTTGTAAACATATAATATCATTCTTATGTTGCTTCAAATAATAAAATATTTTTCTCCTTTTTTGTGGCGAATTCAATCTATTAACATTTAAAGTTATTAATTTAGCCATCCTTTGGCTTTTGGAGCTTCTGAATCATCCCTTGAAGATCCATCATGACAGATCTTTTAGGTCTGGCCCCTCCCACTGGCTCCGAAGTAGTTGAACATGTTTGGGGCATAGCCTCTTTCTGTTGCTCTCTTTCCTTACGCTTATGAGCCACACGTGTCATTCTCTGGTCTTTTGGGTCCTGTTTTGCCTCCAACACTTGTAAATTCTGAAGATCTCC